AATAAAGTCAGTCTTAGCAACAGGAGCATTTCTCCAACCAGATACCGCCACAACCCAAACCAGAATGTCAACATAACCAACAGTATCCTCTAATGCAATATACCTTGCCCCCATCACTACCTCAAACCAATGACACTTCATAAACCATACTGACCCTGTCTTTTTATTATCTTACAGGCTAAGAAGCATGGACACATACACGAAACACGGATACGATCTAACATAGACAAGCAAACACAATATTTCTTAAAAAAGTAGGACACGAACACGTTAGAAATAATTGTATTTTATATGCAAAATTAGATAAATTAAATACTTTATGATAAGTAAATATTCCATCTTTTTTTATATTAAAACATCATAATAGTCGGTAACTATCAAATTTTTTTGTAGTCCATGTATACCTAACATACATAATTTATATAACTGCTTTCATTTTCTCAATTCCTCTTTTTTTAAAACTTTTACGCGTTTTTTGTTTTTATTATTAAACTTCGAGTACAATCTGCACATGTATAATCTAAATAAATTATGCATTCTCTAATAGTATAAGACACTTGCTAGTCAAATTAACAACACATTTATTGTTTAGTAAATAAACATGGCCTAAAGAAGTGTCAATACATCACCAATGCAATATCAGACATGCATCAGAAATTAAAATTTTATCATTTAATTATCGAATAAATTTATCCGACATGTGTCCGAGGTGTATCGCTGTGCTTCATATTTTACATGGATCTCAAAATATCCAAAATGCCTGACCTTCACAAAATTCATCTTTTTTTTTGAACATATGATTGATAAAGAAACTATTTGTCTAGAGGCACAGGCCCAAAGAAATGAAATACAAGTTCATCCTCAAATCGTAAATAAATTGGCAACATAAAGGGTGGAGAGAGAAAGAATACCTGACTTCAGGATTGATGCAGATGTTCCGCACCAACTGCATTCCGCATATCCCCACGGCTACTCCTACGGCCGCAAACAGAGGATACACCTACATACAATTGAAAAACACTTCGAACAATCAGATCCACTCAACGAATCAAAAGATCTCCCGCAACAAACTCGCATAACCCTAAAATCTTAAAACTATAGCCTATCTATACATCCATGGACACTCAAGAACACAGATTTGACAGCGATGTGAAAAATCAACAGCGATTTAGAGGGTTTAAGATACGAACCTCGGGCCTCAGCCACCGATTGAGAGTTGACGAAGCCATTGGAGAAGCCCTGAAGACACGGTATGAAAAGCAGAATAGCACACAACAGCTAATGAGAATCGGCAATTCAGAAATGATGACGACTTAAGCGCAGTCGCCTTCTTATACGATCGATAGAAACGGAGTTAGGGCCTGGGCCGGGGTAATCCGGGATGTCAGCCACCGGCCCATTTTGGCCCAAAAAACGAATAAATATTGGCTACAACGAGAAAACACGTTAGTTGTACCATGTGGTATATCCCTTTATTAATAAAAAATAAGTCAGCAAGTGAGCTTTATTAAAATTTATAATTATCCAACCATATAATATATAACTATCCAAAAAACATAGGTTTGTTGGGCATTAAATTAGGTGTTGATTAGGTTCTTAAAATAAGTTCATATGATTTTAGTCACATAATTCGTATAATCAGCCGATGTTTCGGTGCTTTATGGTTGAATTTGCGCTTTAAAATCAAATTCTTTGTGAATTCACATTCTTATTTTATAAAATTTGTGAATTTGATTAATTTGCACTCTTACTTACTTATATGTTTACTCATTATTATTCAAATTTTTATTTGAAAAGTGTTGAATCATGTCTAAATATACATATATAAATAGTGATATTTCTAAACAAAAATTGTCATTTTAAGATTTTATAATTAATTTATATTTAAAATCAAATAATTTATTATATAGTTGTGCACGAACATTAATATTTAATATTTTATTGTTAAATAATTTTTATGAGTGAATGCGTGTTTATGTGCAATAAATATATTGCTCTCAAGGTATTCCAACTTTTAAATTTTTTAAAATTTTACCCTTTTATCCTTCTGCTCTCGCTCTCGCCCGCGATTCCGCTCTACGTGATTTTACCATATAACATTGTTCTTGTTTTAATTCAGAATTATTTCAATTAATTTTATCGGGCCAAATATACTGGACCTCATCTCCGAAAAGCTCGTTCTAGCCTAGCAGAATTTTGTGTTGCCTGTGGGCCGCCACATTAGGAGCTAACTCATGGCCCAATCCTTCGGTTAATGGGTCAGCTCATGGGTAGTGTACTCTTTTGTCGAGCCTTATTCATTGATTGAATATTCAATGTACGGATATTACCAGATCATCGTCGACAAGTGTTACAACCAACCACTTAAAAAAGGATTACACATGGCTAGTGAATCTTATTTAATTTAATAACCGTTAATAATCACCACATTTAAATGGATGCAATAACTATTATATGCTGATTTTTTATTAAGTGACATACCACGGAAAAATGATGACGTGACATTAACGTTTAAATTTACTTGCACAAAATATATTAATGCATAATCAACAGTCAAGTGTGCAATACAAAGTAATTAATAAATAATTAATAAAGTAATCAATAACAGAAGGCAGAGATCAGACGACACGAGAATGTATAGTAATTTGGTTAAGGTAATCTACTCCACTTTTGAAGGCGGTTACGGTGGCCGGAGTTCTTTATTAATAGAGCAAATGGTGGAGGAGAGAGTAAGGAAATAAAAGTACGCTCAAGGTGAGGTGAGGTATCTCTGTGTGAGATGTAGAGGTGTGTTCCCCTTATGTGTCGATGACTTACAATTTATAAACACAAAGCCTTGATTGAGGTAATAATGTGATGGTAAATATACTAGTTCTTCTGGGATGATAGTTACATCTAAAGATAGATACAATTAAAGATAACTTTGATCTTTGAGAGTGACTATTCCGATAATTGCTCCTCACATGCTCTAATATTCTTAGACTCTTTAAACTTTGGATTGGGCTGAATCTGTAAATTGGGCTTGACCCACTTTGTAGCAAATTGAGGCTTAATTAATTGGTTGGGCCTGTCCAGTCAAATTTGAGCTCATCAAAATTTACCCTTTTTAAATCTTTTAAATTATTTGTTATGATATTGAAAAATAAAATTTAATATTGTAGTATTTTCCTTACCAGTAGCATTGTAATGAACTCTTTTGCATCAACATCACACAGATGTTGTGGTGCCGGGAATGTTGTGGCCCATGCAAGCAATGGCCACCAATAACATGTAATATACGTAGGTGGTCCACTTTTCATGCGGCCTTGTTTGCCTGATATTATATAGTGGTTCCCACTGGTCCCTCGTACTCTAATCCATAACCATTTTGTTGTTTTTTTCGTTTATAATTTGTGGCCTGCTTTGCTTTTATAATGAGTTTGACTGGTTTGAGATATTTGCCAATTTTACCAAATAACCCAATCATTTCAGCTTGTTTTTCCTTTTTGAGCATTCACTCAATATGCATTTAATTAGATCATACTCTTTGTGGTAACCTTATCCTCTGTTTTGTAAGGAGGACAAAAAATTAGAAGAATAAAAAATATGAGAGATACATTTTCTATCTTTCAAGAATGAAAAGTAGGAAAAATACATTTTTTTTCCTTTGTGTTTGTTGGATGAATAAAAAATAAAAAATAATTTTTTTTTTTTTGTGCAGGCTAAGATTAGGAGTGACAATAAAATCGTGTCATGTCAGATTCGTGTTGAGTTATTACGGGTTTGTATCAAATATTAATCAAACTTAACTTAACTTATTTAAATAATTGTGTCGTATCGAGTTGTGAATTGACCTGTTTATTTTCGTATCGAGTTCGAGTCGTGTTGTTGTGTTGAGTCGAAAATTTTCACCCTTAATTAAGATGGAAAAATATTTTTTTAATTTTAAAATTTTTATTGTTTTATTTTTATTTTAAATTTATTTTTTTAAAAAAAAAAAATATATATATATATATATATATATACATATTTTACCATTGTATTTTTATATAAAATTAATATATATATAAATAGATATATATACAAATAAGATACATTTTAACATAAATAATTAATTTTCCATCCACTTTTCTTTCGATTTTGGAGGGATTATTTTTGGTGAGTTAGAAGAAAAGTTAATCTATCCACTTTTTCATCATTCCTTACTAAATATGATGTTTTATTTATCCTTTTAATTTTTTATCATTCTAATTTCCTATCATGTCAAATGGAGGATTAGGATTCAATTCAATACACGTTACTGAGTTATTACATGAAATATATATGTACTAGTTAGTACTTAAAACATGAGGGGCCTAGGCCTAGTGATGATTCCGTCTCTAATTATTAGAGTCGGGACAAAATTTAGGTATCGAATTATTTATTAATTTTTTTGGTATTTACATTTTTTTGTTGGGCATAATTTATGAACTTTTTTAGCGTTCAATCGCATTTTGAGTTTCATTTACTATATTTTTTGGAGTATCACTTTTAAAAACTTGTCATTTTTTGCATACATTTTGGGTTTTTTTTTTTCATATTTTTTGTACTGAAAACTTAAAAATCCACACCATATTGTTTACTTATATGTTATATTCTTTTTATTTGGTGAATTATAATTGGAGGGTTATATCAGGTAATAAGAATAATGTAATTTAAATTTAAAAATTTGACATAATTTATTGACATAATAATGTGATTGTAGAAGAATTATTGGATCAACACTAAATTTCAATATTTGATAAACCCTACAATCAATCCAAAAATCACATACTAATCAACAAATTATATCAAAAATTAAATCTCAATAAGATTGGTTAATGTGACAATGTTGGTGGCATGCCCAAATATTTACTACTATGAGTGGCTTGGCAGCACTGGGTTCCGATGATGGCGAATCCGTAATATGGTGGAACAAGAGGGGTACAACCAAGTCAGAAAACAAATAAAACAAGTGAAAAATTGATGGTCTGATAATCGAAGGGGAGAGACCGTACGAGCTTCGCCTGAGGCACCAACCCACACAAAGAAAAGCTTGATAACCTTCTGAAGCTTTTCCACTAATGGCCGCTACAACCAATGCTTTCCTTCTCTCTCCCCTCACCGACCGATCACTCCAGCCCCTCCACCCACCGCAATTACCCTCTCCATTTTCCCACCACTTCCTCATCCGACCGTTGCTTCCCGCCATCGCCGCAAAGAAACGCTGTTCCGCTGTCGTCAGTTGCTTAATCTCCGGCGTCGACGGTGGTGGAGTCTCCGATGACTTCTTATCCACCAGGAAGCCTGGTTTCGATGGCGAATTCGAAGTTATTGCCAGTATGCTCAGGAGAATCCAACCTTTGGACACTTCGATCATCTCCAAGGGCGTTTCTGATTCCGCCAAGGACTCCATGAAGCAGACGATCTCTACTATGCTAGGGTTGCTGCCATCGGAGCAATTCTCCGTCACAATTGGGGTTGCCAAAGACCCTCTCGATAGGCTCGTCTTTTCTTCAATCATCACCGGGTAATTACTTTCAAATTAAAATTAACATTATATGCAACAATTGTTAGATGTAGTTATCTATCAAGTTAATTGTTGTACAGAGAGTGATTTAGTTGGCGAATTTTTAGGTGTACTCTGTGGAATGTGGAGTATAGGATTTCATTGACGAGGAATCTTGAGATATCACCGGATAGTTCGAACAGGTCGATTTTCCCAGAGAATAATGGTATTTTGGAAGTGAAGCGTGAGGAGAGAGAGGATGTGGGTGACGAGGTTGGTGTTGGTGGGTCTGTTGAAGATTTAGAAAGGAACAACCTTCAAAGTAGTCAGGCTTTGTCTTCGGAGGCTTTGAAATACATTGAACAGCTGGAATCAGAGTTATCTACGGTCAAGCAGGTGAGAATCTATTCTCTTCTCTCTGTCAACAGAGTTAGATTTCAGAAATAATATGGAATTTGGGGAGTTGATAAGTTCTTTGATTTGTCTTAAGGATTTTTTTTAATCCCCTCCCGGTCCGGTCAAAAGCAAACCATTTATGCAAAGACTAGGGTATTCATGTGGGACAGGACATTGTTAGCACTTGAGCTACCCTTTAAGGTTGTCTTAAGGATTGCCAACCAGTTTAGAGAAGGATGCTGTGGGCACTTACTAAAAGTTAGTGCAAAGCTCAATTACATGTATACAGAGTGTTATACTGCTATTCATTTAGTGTGGGTTATCAAAGTGTTCTTTAGAACTACAAGCCGCAAGGTTTTCAACTACTGACTACTAAAGATATATGATACTCACCCGACGTAGTAATGGTGGGAGTCTTCTTCCAATTTATGCTGATAAGTGATGCTGTCTCAGGAACTGGATGCCTGCAAACAAGACAATATGCAAATGGAGTATATGAGACAAAGTAACAATGATTTGTTAGAGTACTTACGGTCCCTGGAATCTAATATGGTAATGACTCAACTTTTGCAGTTTAAGCAGTGATTCTATGGTTGAGAATGGATTCGTTAATGCTCAGAACAAATTTTCTCATATGTCATTTTGTTTCAATAGGTTACTGAACTATCTAGACCATCATCGTCGGAGGTGGAGGAAATTATTCACCAACTTTCTCAAAATATATTGCAAAGATTCTTTAATGAGGAGACAGTCTCTAACTTTATGGGAGATTCAGGTATTGAGGGTACAGAAAACTACCAAAACGGTGGTGATGAATTCTGTGATACTGTAGGGACTTCCAGGGATTATCTAGCAAAGCTGCTTTTTTGGTTAGTATCTTGTCATCTGTCTTCCTTTATTGCTCTTCTTCATTTGCTTTGACCTTGTGAATTCGAAAAAAATTGAAGGAGCCAACAATGTTTGTGATTTATCCCAAATATTATACTAAAGAAAAAACTTCTCTTTGCACTTGATGTAATTAGCATACACTCTTAATCATGTGTTCTGCCAGAGTCTGATTGTGTTGTGGCTCTCAACTGTTGGTGTTTTATTTATAAAAATAATTTCTACCTGATATCATATGTTTAAGGAGCCCTTGTGGTTGCAGGTGTATGCTATTGGGTCATCATTTAAGAGGCTTGGAGAACAGGCTGCATCTAAGTTGTGTTGTTGGCTTGTTGTAAGTAAAAAGTACAAAGAGGGATTTATATTCTTCCGTTTTTATTTTTTCTTAGGGTGTTTCTTTATCAATTTTGCTATATATCTGTATTGAATTTTCTTATTCTGGAACAAAACTGTGAATATCATAATAACAATTAATCATTGCTTCTCATTTTAAGGAACTTCTTTACCTTCACACCATTATAATTTTACCATAATAGGAGTAATGTCTAGATGCATAGTAATCTTTTAGGGTAAAAACACCATTTGCTCATCCCAAATTCTGACAAACCTGGGGATGGGGTCAACCGAAGCAGCTGCATTATTGATCTTGTGAAGCGACTATCCTCATATTGAGTTGCATTTGAGCCAGGGATTGCCCTTGGGGACGAGTGACCCATGAAAGAAATCCTCAGTGACTGGTTGAAGGTCTGCTGATCATCTTATGTCTACATTCAGGAACCTCAGTATTATCTTAGTGGAATTAAAGAATTTTGTTTTTACCAGGGTTATCGACTTGGCGGGCCCTCTGGCTACTTTATGTTTGAGCTTAGATGCCTAGGTGTGGAAGTTATTTAGTCTTTGCCTCTTTGGGGTCCAATGAGATTGGATAGCCATGGCGAGTTTTGAATATTTTGCCCTAAGGTATGGCTTGGGCAGTATGTCTTTCTACTGTTACTTTTGTTTGAAACCTGTAGTTGCCAGCAGTTGTGCCATTATCTTACTCCTGTAACGGTAATGAGATAGTCCAGAGGTATTAGGCACATACTTCATGAAGCACACGTTGGAGAATCAAAATGCTTAGTATTGAATCAATAGTAATGAACAAAACTAGTATTGGTTGCAACTGCCGTTCATGGTGGTCAGGAATGCCATCGGTTCTACAGAGATCATAAGGTGCAGAGAATAACAACTGGGCAAGACGGTCAAGCCTTGGCCATGGCTTCCCCTTGTCGACCCAGAGCATCAAAGTAACTGGATCCGCACAAAGCCCATGTTGGTCCCCCCCAACGATCAATGGCCCCGTTGAAAGTATCCACCCTATCCAGAAAGATCTTCCAAACAACACACGGTGTTGTACAACAGAGGATCTCTGCCCTCTGGAAAGAGTACCCGAGGATCTCTGCCCTCTGAAAATACTGAGCAACAAAACAAACCGTGAACCCATTTAAAACTCAATGTGATTTCCACACAACATATGCCCCGTAGTCAAAACAACCAACAAACCTATGCGAGGGAAACAATATTTAAGACATGCAGGTGCAGGAAAGGGAGAAACTGCGAACATGGGAAACAAACATGAAATGATGAAACCTTCAAGAAAGAAGACCAAATAAGTATGTCAAATAAAAGCAAAATTAGCACCTTACATATAGGGAATTCAGCTGCCCACTTTGCAAGGTTTTGATGAACTTGTGAAATCATGTACTGAAACCATCATATTAACAATATATATGGCAAAATACTTGAGGCAAGAGGTCAAGTTCCAAAGGGAAAAAGCACAATTTGAGAGAGAGAGGTTGATTTTAAAATTTTGATGATACATTCACATGAACCACCAAAGAAAACTCTGCAAAGAGAGAAAAAAAAAACGAAAAAGAGTATGAAAACTCCTAGATACCTGAAAACGCTACAACTACAGTCACGTTTTCCTCGATGGCAAATCAAAATTCTTGCAATGACAAAACATGACTGACACAGGACAAAGATGAGAGACTCCATGTGCATTATAATTCTGAAAACAAAATTAACTCTTCCTAAGATCTCATACTCATGCTAAGACCGACCCACTGGGGATTAAAGCCTACATCTCCTTTTAAGGATCATAATTCTTTCTGCGGCAGGGACATAGCCCATCTGTCTCAAGAATCCTTTTGTGACAAAAAAGACATATCCTGAATCCACAAGGACATGGAAGAAAGCTCAAGTCCGTGAGATCAAAATCCTCGCAACAAATCAGGCATGAGGAAGGTTGGGTCATGATGCTTTGACATGCCCAAGAAACAGAACCATTACTAGAATCAGTTGTAAAATTACAATGCTTCTTCACACTGGGCAGACTACGAGGGCGATAAACATCATCAGATTGCCATGCCCGACGATTCACCTGACCCCTGGAAATCACTTCCTTACTCTCTCTTTCTGATAAGCTGACTCCAGAATTACTAGGCTCAGTTAATCCAATCTTCTTTCCAAACCCTGAAAGAGGTTCTAAATTTGGGTTATTCTGCTTTTCGTTGAAGGTCAGAGCATCAGCAACGGCCTCCCAATCGTCCAGGCAACCGTCATCCTCTTCTGTTTTGCTGACATATCCAGGGCAACATCGGCCACTGGCACTGCTGCAACAGCTCTCAGAAAGATCTTTCATTGAGCCATCTAGAACGATACTGCTTCCAACGGCACTACTCATTAAGCAGTCCAAATCACTGTCATGAACATCTGATCCCTCAATATCTACCCCCTTTGACCTCACTTCCAAACTCTCTAATGATCTGTTCTCCATATGAGAAATCAGCAAAGAAGAGGGATGAGATCCACCCTGCCCACCTGAACCCACTTTGCAGCTCATGTTATTTGCTGCGTTAATTATTTCACTTTCAGATTTGCAAGTCAATCTAAATTCATTTTCAACAAACGGATTTAAGAGAAAGCAATAGTTCTTTCCTTTTGTAAACTAATCCGTTGGCATATCTTCTTACACTTTATGGTTTTACAATGAAATTGCATCACTAACCCACCACATTCGCCATTTACCGTTGCGCTTATTATACTTTCAGTTTGCACTTGTGACCAACTAGTGAAAAAGTTCTCAAATACAGTTCACCAGAAGATACTTCAAGTAATATTGCATTTTATTACAATGAGAGGAAGAAAATAAACCATCAACAATTAACCTATGTTTAATTGCTGGACAAAGGAGGAAATAAAATACCCACAACTATGAGCCCTGCAGGAAAGCAGCACCCAAAGCATTATGGACCTAAAATCTTGTGCTCCTACCCTTTCTTGATAGGAAACCAAGAACAAGAAGAAAAAAATGTATTGCATCAAAATTAAAACATCAACCCAACTCAACAAAAGACTTAATCCCAACTATTTGGGGTCGGATAAATTAAAACATATTCATAAAATACATAGTCTGAACAAAACCCAGCATTCATATAGAGTTATAGGTGTATATTGTGGGGACATATTGCTCGATAAGAGCCAAAACTAACTCCAAATTTTCTAACTTATTCTACATTTTCCCAACAACCAAACAGAACCAGAAGATACAAGACCTGTGCGTGCAGGATCTTACACAATATAAACACGAGGACATATCTCTCCCGTGGTGAACACGTATTCGAAATTGGGCGGTTGATTTTGCTAGTTGAACAAGTTGTGGGGGTCGAAGGTGGATAATCAATCGTTGGTATGAGTCGCCTGAGTGATCCTGGAAAACTGAAGAGGGTTCCTGGAACAAAGAAAAACAGGTTAGAAGGGCGCCGGAGTGTTTTTCGGTGTATCCTTTCCGACGATCAAGTCAGTTCTTTGAGAGAGGGGAAGAAGGGAACACTATATGAAGGTTGAGAGAGGGTTTATTGCGTACCTCATTATGTGTTTTGTGAGGAATATGTATACCTTAAAAACTCATGATTGCTGTCAGTATGGTCAATAGGTGATCATTAGAGGTGGGTAACGTGCGCACTGGTTTTTAGGAGAAATGACATCTTCCTTAACTGCTCGGGACCCCGAGCAACCAATGCATCACCCTCGGTTTGTTGAGCGTTTAATGACCTTCACTCGGCAGAGATATATTAAATGCTCGGTCACAGGAACATTCATTGTCTTTCACTTCCGGGTCTTCACGCATTAAATGTTGTCTCATCAAGGGAAAGGTGCATTAAATACTTGCTTTCCCAAGTCGTATGTCAGCAAGGGCATTCTGGTCTTTTTGTCTCTGGTCTGACACAATACGCCACGTGCCCGCTCCCCTTTGGTTGAGTCTTCTGCTTTCCTGTGCGTCCTAATACCATCTAGGTAAGACCAGGTCATGATGGCTAATCTAGCCTAGCCCAGGCTGATGACCTGTCTATCAATAGCACTGCAGGAACAGGAACGCTGATGTAGTGGGTACACATCGGTGTCGAGGGCTTAGTACGGTTAGGGCCGATATACCCACCCATTCGACCGAGGAATATGTGTCACCCGTGCATACCGACGTCGTAGATCCTTATGCATAGTACCATCTCGGGGGAAGAGGGATCATGATCCGACGAGCACATGTCGTGATCACGACAGAGAGTATTTCTTGACACTGAATACACGTGTCGCTACCTTGGAGTGTCTGAAAAATGTCCCATTAACTGCCCCCAGCCTTGGATCTTCTGACACCGAGGACACGCGTTGTAAGAAGACGAAGGGTTCTGTAACTACCCCAACCACTTCATCATTGCCCCTAACCACTTTCCTCCGCTTAGGAGGTCGTGTGCATTAAATGCGCCTCTTCGTGCTTTATGCCAATGATGGGGATGGGTACTATATAAATGGATTCTCTCTCTCCCTCTCACACTTCGCCATTTCAAACTCTTTAGAGAGCCCTCGCTTGAAATCTCGTCGGAGACCCACTTCTTTACATTGTTTACAAACCAATCTTAACCGGAGTCTTAAAGCCAACAGACCCATCCTTGCTTTTGAAACTTCTGGAGGAAGGAACCACTCCAAGTTTTGAAGAAAACCTTCGTTCAAGTTCTGGTGAGTCCTTCTATTTTCCTTCTCTCCACCCTTCTGTCTCTTCTTTCTCTTTTTTTTTTGCTTTTTGATTTTTCGATAACCGGAGGTGTTTCTGGTTGTCATTCTGTGACCAACCTTCAGGAAACCCCTATGGGATCTTCGTAAAAAAAAACTGTCCTTCCTCTTTAGTTTTTATCTTCTTCGGAGATGCCCCGACGTCGGCCTGTCACCGAGGATCCCTAGGCCAGTTCCTCGAGGTCCGGGAAGTACAAAGTGAAGGGAGAGGAGCAGATTAATAGGTTTAGGGCTCGATACTACATTCCCCCTAACGTAGGTATAGATGAGTACGACCCAGTTTT